TTGCTCCATAAATAAGTGAATTAATTAATAAAACAATAACATGAATTAAGAAGAAAATTCCATTGGGTTATGATGAAGAAACTACAGATATTTTGGCGTCAAGGTCCCTGCTCGACGTGCGCACAGCGCTCACTGACCGTGAACAGGAGCGGCTCCTCAAGCACGACCGCCACCCTTCGGGGGCCACCTGGGACGCCGCATCAGAGGGCCTGGTGCTGGCTGGCAGCTGTGAATCTGGGTCTGCTGACAGCTAATGTCACACACGTCAGGCCCGGGGACCCCGAGCGGGCAGGCGCGGACCCTAGAGACCTGGCGCCAGCCCAGGACCGGTGAGGACCGGGCCGTGGGGTGCCGCCAGCGCAGGGGACACCAGCAAGCGGCACACTGTCCCCCTGGCCCCCTGGCGCGTAGTGACTGGGAGCTGGGGAGGACATCCAGCCAGGACAGGGCTGGCCATGGAGCAGGACTTGGACAAGCAGAAGGTTTTTTTTTTTTTTTCTGAGAGAGAGAGAGAGAGAGAGACAGCGTGAGCAGGGGAGGGGCAGAGAGAGAGGGAGTCACAGAATCCAAAACAGCCTCCAGGCTCTGAGCTGTCAGCACAGAGCCTGACGTGGGGCTCGAACCCACGAACTGTGAGATGATGACCTGAGCCGAAGTCAGACGCTTAACCGACTGAGCCCCCGGGCGCCCCAAGCAGAGGGATTTTAACTAAAAGAGGGTGGGAAGAAGCAGGGGATTGACTACCACGGGCAAACATGTGCTTCCACCCAGACCCGTCCCCACGTGTGAAAATGGACTTGGAACCAACCAGTCCTGGACAGAAATGTCGGACATCAAGCTACAAGATTCTAGAAGGAAACATGAGAGCAAACACTTGTGACTTTGAATCAGGCAGGTTTCTTAGGTCCAATACTAAGGAGTGACAGGTGGAGGGGGTAGGGTGACTGTGGGGGTTGGGGGTGGGAGTGACAGGTGGGGGTGGGGTGACAGGTGGAGGGGGTGGGGGTGGGGTAGTCTGACAAGTAGGGGTGGGGTAGGATGATAGGTGGGGGGGCAGGGCAGTGAATGCAGAGGGCATAAGAGGGAGTTTGAGGGTTACTGGCACTGCATCAGGATTGTGATACAAGCCCCGAGATCTGTACAGCACAGACAGTGACCTCTATTGTGTGTAAATAAAACAAAACACTCTGCAGGGAAGCCCACGTGGAGCCCAAGCCGTGACAAATGAACTAACCACATGACAAATGGACAGCACAGGCACACGGAGGAGGTGGGAAAGAAAACAGCGAAGTCCCGTGCGAAAACAACACTTTGTCTGCACAGTACTGAAGAGCCTAAAATTAAGTCCTCCATTAAGAGCAACCTCGGGCTGCACGTGGCCCCAATTCCAGTCCCAGGAAAAGCCTCAGACTGTTCAAGGCTAACGCCATCCTCAGATCGCCCTCAGGTCAGCTAATCAAAACGAAAAAAGAAACATTCTTATGGTCTGAGTCAAGGCTGGGAACTGCAGATACAAACTAGCCAATTTCTCACCACTTGCCTGAACCCCACGTGGGCCCTTTAAACTCACCTCATAACTGGTCATTTTCAAAGGATTCTCAAGAGTCATGATTGGGTCCCGCCAAAAGTAACGAACACCTCACAGACACTGAATGGTCAAAGCTGTCACCAGGGGTGCTGGACAATTGTAATTGGTGCTTATGTGATGATGCTACACGTACTGTAACACCCCCATCCCTTACTCCTTAAAAACCCAACTCGCTATTGTTCTTGGCTTCATCTTGCTGCCACGACACTGGTAGGCGGGTGAGCCCCTGCTCGAGCTTGTAATAAAGACCCTTTTGTATTTGCATCGGTGCCGGCTCTTTGGAGGTCTCTGGGACTTGCGATTCGGGCACAACAGTACAAGCTACAGAGACGGGGAGCTGTGCACAAAGGCACCTCTGTTGGTCACTCTGTTTCTCACAGGCTGTACGGGTTAGCCCGTACTCTGCAGCTACTCCATGCATACACTGGGGCCGAGCAAGTGAGTCCATAGAGTGTACACAGCCAGTGCCAAAGAAAGGAGTTACAGATAACGGGGGGAGGCTGGGATGGAGCTTGAATTGTTAACCTAGCATTGGAGGTATCATTATGAACTCATGGTTTTATGATAGACAGGTGATAGATGATTGATAGATAGATATGTAGATAGATAGAGGATAGATGGATAGATAATAGATAGAAAGATGGATAAATAGATGATATATATATATAGAGAGAGGTGACAGATGGATAGATACATAGACAGATGGATGGATGATGGAGAGATACATAGATGACAGATGGATAGATAGGCAGAGAGGTGGATAGATAGTTGGATGGATACATACATACATACACACATACGTACCTAGGCAGACGGATGGATGGACAGATGGATGGATGATGGAGAGATGACGGACGGATGGATGGGTAGACAGATGGACAGGACAGACAGACACGCACATATGACTTTCATACATGATAGATGGTGGACAGGTGGCAGGTAGATGCAGAAATAAACGTGCACGTGCCCGTCCAAGCCCCGCCCCCAGACAGCCTGGGGACGGTATCGCCTCGCCCCCGGGGCAAGAGCACACCCAGCACCGGAGATGTTGGCTCCTGGACACCGCCGCACAGCAGAAGGAAGGCCCTCCTTGGCCGGGGACGCCAGAAGGTGGCCTGGAGCATCCCGTGGGGGCAGAAGGTGAGAACGTGCTCCAGCAGCAGGCGGCGCGTCAACAGGACGCAGGAGCCGCCTGAAGCTCAGCGGCCGGAACAGCCCGACAGGAAGATACCTGCTGATGGAGCGGGACTGTAGCCCCCAGAATAAATATCCCGACAGGATCACGGGACAAAGAAGGGAACGTGGGAATAAACCAGCAGGAGCGGGCACTGGAAAGCCTGTGGCAGCACCGCGGCACCCATGGCTGCCAAAGTCCGCACCAGAAGCTCGCGGAGATGCTTGCGGCCTCAGCTGCTTCTCCCCAGTGCGCTCACCAGGCATGAACACCACGTCTGCGGTGCAGAGCCGGAGGTGGCATCCCCCCGCGATAAAGGTTAATGTCACCCGGGATAAGACGTATGGGTGTCATCTCGCTGGGCTGAGCAAACTCACGGTGGCACTGTGGCCCCAGCCCTCGGGCTGCCCCCCGCTGTCAGGGGCCACCTCTCAGGGGACATCAGGATGTCAGGCCTACTCTTCTTGTCTACTGTGACAGCCGGCCCGGGGCCACCACTTCATACGTCTTCCCACTTTGACTAGCTTTCCAGAACTCTCTCCCTGATGCCCAGGCGGCCGGGAGGCTAGGTGACTGGGCAGAGAGGAGGCAGGCCGCTCTCTGGGGTCTGTGTCTGTGCACCTTTGCGAGTGTCTGACCCCCTCGAGGGAGCTGCTGTGCAGGGTGTCCCCTGCCTCCACCCCCGCCAGCCCCACGTTGAGGGTGCCCTCCTGTAAGCACCCCTGGCTCCGCCCAGGCCCGGGGGTCCGTGAGGGCAGCTGTGTCTGCCCAGCACCTGCTCCCGTCCCTGCCCTCTCCCCACCCCAGGACCCGCTCATGGCTCTGGGGGCACCAAGTGTCCTTCCAAAGCCTGGCGGGTCTACCCTGTCCCCAGCACCGAAGGGCAGGCCCTGAGCCACTGGCTGGCTCACTGGGGACACACTGCGGGGAAGGATGTTGGTGGGGCATTTCCAGGGACCCCGGGCAGTGTGTTTCCAACTGGGCATGTGCCGCTAGGAAGCACGTGTTCACCATCACCTCGCTACGGGTGACCTTTAAGGCCAGGCCGTGACTGTGGGCTGTCCTCGCCAAGCAATCAAAGGCAAGCGTGGTGCGCTCGGCACTTTCCGGAGCCCCGAGCGCGCGGTTGCAGGGCTTCTGCACCAGCTGCGAACCGCAGCCGGAGCCCCAGGCTTCCAGAGCGCATGCTTGGGTTGGAGCTCCTGCAAGCCCTCAGGCGTCCCTGGGACCAGGGCTGGGACTGGCCAGGCTCCTGCTCCGTTCCAGAACAAGCCTGAGAGTGACCTTCCTAGGCCGAGGCCGTGCCCATGCGCCCCCGGGGGACCCGGGGTCCCCCACACGCCATTGTGTGCCCCTCTGAAGGAACACGCACGAGACGCGCTCCATGAGAGATGAGACCGTGTTGCTGGTGGCGGTCTCACGTTCTCCCCTCCCACAGCCCCGGCCTCTGTCTCCGCTTCCGTTCCCCTCCCTGCACAGCGCCGCTCGTCCTGAACCCCCTTCAGTCCGAGGAGCAGAGGAGCAGGCGCCCTGACGGCATAGGCCCCGCCGAGCGGCTGGGGTGTGGCCTCCAGCAGCCTCCACCAGAGGACAGCCTCCTGGCCTGCAGGGTGTGGGGCGGGGGGAGGGGCGGGGGCAGCCAGGGAGAGGGGGTGAGGGGTGAAGAGGCCTTGACCCCTGAGCTCATCCAAGCTCATGACAGTGCCTGAAGGGAAGGGGAGCCCTGGGGGCTGGGGCTCAGGAGGAGGAGGAGGGAGGGACTGCTCTGCAGACAGAGTAGGAAACTTTCCTTTCCCGGAGCTTCTGGGACAGGAAGGTGGGAATGGGCAGGGCTGGCCAGCAGACCCCGTGGGGGCTGGAGCACATTTGGACAGTCCTTCACTGCCGGGAGATGAGGCCACCCTGGTCCACTCTTGTGCCCATGGAGGGAGTATCCTGGGTCTGGGCGAAGAGGCCCCCAGGGGTCAGCACATGAGGGACACTGAGGAGCCTATGCAGGGATGCCCCTCGGGGAGCAGACTCTGGTCCAGGGGGGCGGGTGGTGGACAGTGAGCCACCCCTCCCTGTCTCTACTGGCCTGGACAGACGCCCAGAGCAGGGCAGGTCCCAGCAAACCGAAGTCACATCTCAGCCGGGACCACTGGACCAAGCAGAGGGAGGTACGGCCCTCGAGGGCTCCGCACAGTGAGGGGCAGGGAACAGGGAACGCGGTCTGCACGGACCAATGGCTGCACTTACCTGCTCGCCACCTGGGCATCGGGCTCCCTTCTCGTAGCTGCAGGATCACAGGTGCATGGCTGCCCTTGAGAGCGGAGGCCGGGGCTCTGCACCCGCAGCTCTGGCCCCGCTCAGCCCGCGGCCTTGGGGCAGGGGTGGCGCTGGGTGCCCAGGCCTCCACAGTCTGGGGTTCTGCGTTCCAGGAGCCAGGCCCCCTTTCCGGTGAGTCCAGGCCCTGTCTTGTCCCGCCTCCCAAAACCACGTGCCTCAGTCTCCCTCTGGTCGGTCCCATGCGCTCCTCTGTGAGGCTCAGGGCGGCCTTGGAGGCCGGGGGTCATGGCACAGTGCATGCGGCAGCCACGGCTGTTCCCACGGGTGACGGCGTCATCAAACCAGGCAGGGATGCGTCGGCTAGTAGGTGCCCAGGACCCCAGCAAGCGAGTCCTCCTAGGCCACCTGAGGTGGCCTGGGAAGCTGTCCTCAGAACACCCCCCAGGACCCATCTGGGCCTCCCCGATTGAAGGTCACCTCTGTGGTCACCGGCTTCCTTGGGTCATTTTGTGGGGTGCCTGTGTCCGTTCATCTGAGACGTGTGTCGCGTGATTCAGGGTCCACGAACGGGAGCACGGGGCTCTGGATGCTTCCGCACAGAAGCAGCTCTCTGCGCCTGCTCAGCAGGGAACTCATGCACCCCTGGCGCCGGGATGTGGAGGCCCAGGGTCCAGCAGCCCAGACCAGGCGTCCTTCGGAGGAGCCCCAGTCGGAAACTAGTTCTAATTCTGGCCCACAGAGCGGACAGTTGCTGCCCAGAGGTGCTCAAAGGGCCCCCTTCTCCCTCTTCCTGGTCGGGCCGGGTCCGCAGAGACAAGATGCCCTCCGTCTTGTGTGGCCGCCTGGGCACCCGCTGCTCTCCGGTCCAGCTGGAGGAAAGGGGTCCGGCTCCTCCGGGGGCTGGAAGGGAACAGCAGGACACGCATCAGGGAGGCGTCTCTGGGGAGGAAGGGGCTGGCGGGATGGGGGGGGGGGAGCCTCTGGGGATGGCCTCAGAAGGGTGGGCACGGCCAAGCGGGAAGGCGAGGCAGCAGCAGCCTCAACGCGGCCCTGGTCTGAAGCCACAGTAGTGACACTACAGCTGAGCATGACTCTCACGCCCACGGATGAGACCCTCGCATCGTGGAAGCCGGGCAGAGCTCCCCGGGTGGCCCGAGTTCGTCCTCAGCACTTCGGGAAAGGGACACATGCTCTCAGCACTGCTTCCTGCCGATGCGACAGGCGGGGCCTGGAGCCCCCAGGGTGCCGTGCACGCGGCCTCGCCTGTGTGAGGCCCCCCGGGAGGGGTCCTCGCTCTCCCTCCTGCTCAGGACAGGCAGGTGCCCTTGAGCCCTCGGCGATCAGAGCCCCGAATCCCGGCCGAGGGCAGGGCGCAGGCTCTGCAGGCTGCCGGGAGGCTGTGTAACAACCGCGCGGGGCGGCCCCTGGAGAGCTGGCGGGCCCCTCGCCGGACACCAGCGGCCGATGTGATACTCACCGCGTCAGGGGGCCCGGGCGAGCTATGACCACAGAATGAAAGCTAAGGAGAAAAATAAGAACAAAAATAGAAACTGAAAAAGGAACGAGGGAGGGCAGAGACATGGAGGGAAAGAGAGAGAAAAAGAGTTTGTAGATGTCTGGCAAGAAAGGACAGTGATCACAGACAGAACAAGACGCGCGGTCCACCGGGCACAGGAGCAGGCTGGTGTCCCGCGTGCGCGGCTCGCGCTGGGCGGGGCCACAGTGACAGCGTGTCCCCACACGAGCCCCCCACACGAGCGCCTCCACCGCCCCCGGCTCTTCCTTCTCCACGGAGCTGACGGCGGGCCCCTCGCTGGCTGATAATGAGGACGGGGTCTTGCGGCAAACTCGGCGCCCCGACAAGACTCTGGTCCCACTGCAAGCGGTAAAGGACCAACCACCTGGACAGATGTCACACGGGGCCTCACTGGGGCTGGGGGTGGGGAGACCAGCCAACGCAGACACGAGGGAAGGTCTGGCGGGGGCACGGCTGCTGGGAAATAGAGTCTCGGGCCACATGAGAGGGACTCACACCCGGTGCTTAACATCCAGGTAGTTAACACACAAACGTGCTCACAGTAACACGCAAGGGGAAATGGCGTGTGTTCTGGAGGAGCGGCTGCGCGCGCTGTGAGGCCGGAGCCCTGAGAACAGTGCCCTGCGCCTCTGGGCCCGGGGGAAGCTTCCGGCGTGTCAGTGTCTGCGAGGCAGCAGACCCTGTTTGCAGGGCACCTCTCTGCGTCCCGCCCGGCACGGATCCTGGGGCCGCTCATGGGGTGCTCCGGGCGCCGGCACAGTAGGGCTACACAGTTCCTACAACGACCGCTGGGCAGATGGCAGTGGTGTGCCCAGGGAAGGGGCAGGTGTCGGCACTGAGGGGCAGGGGTGGGCGGGGTGGGGTGGGCTGCCACCTGGGAGGGGCCACGCCTCCCCCGGGCACGGGGAGGCTGAGGCTGTGCAGCCCGCGGGGCTCCCGTGCAGTGCCAGCCTCCCGCTTTCCCCGGAAGGGACAAGGCAGAGAGGCGGACCCACGGGCCACCTCACTCAGCGCTCAGTGGGGAGCAGGCCTTGTGGGGCACATCCACCCCACAGCCAGGACCGACTGCAAGAACCGAATGTCAGTGTGACCACGGAGATGCTAAAACATCCCTAAATCGCAGGAAAAGAACTATGCCAGAGTAAGCGATGCCACGGGAAGAGGCAGGGCTCTCTCTGGGCACACTCCAGACACCTTGATTTGGGGACCACCGAGTCAGGCTGTCACCAAGAGTGGACAGAGCGCTGTGACCCCCATGCCTAGTAGGGCTGGGGGTCCAGGAAAAGAGCCAGACTGTCTGCCCCAGGGCCCCAAGCTGCGTGGCCCCAAACCTTCTGCACACCAGCACCTGAGGTTCTAGGCCTGGAAGTAAAGGACAGAAAGGACCGGAAACAAGAGACGGATGGGACGGGTGACCTGCTTCCCAGAGAAAATCTGGTCCTGCCGGAACTTGATTTTCAGAGCAACGCTTGGGAAACAGGGAGGAATCGTGTACTTCAGCACAGCCACCAGCGCTACAAGGACCCTAGGTCGCTAGCCCAGCCCCCTCTGCTACAGCTGGGGAAACTGAGTCCGTAAGCAACACGGCCCCTCCAAGGTGGCACGGCTGGGTCACTGCAGAGGGGCGTTCCCAGAGCCGGGGATCCCTGGCCTCTGCCCTGGAGCCTCTTCCTGTTCAACTGCGCCTCGCCCGTCGGAGCGCACGCTAGGGCCAGGGTGTAGCCCTCTGCGCCCGGTGAACCCAACAATCCCCAGAACTGCGTTTATTTTACCTTTTCCTCCAGTTCCTTTATTTGCCTCTTCTGACCTTCTATTCTCTCTTCTAACTCTTTAATTCTCTGCAATATTAAAAAGAGGAAAATCTTCAGTAATCAGAGTATGTATTTAGGAAACCAAGTACTTGGAGAAAACCCTTTTGAGGTTTGTACTCATTTACCACGAGGGGCCGGGAGCCTGTCTGTCCTCTGTCCGTGGGCTGCGGGAGACCATGGCTGAGCAGAGCAGCAGCCTTGCTTGCCTCAGTTTCCCTTTTGGACACAGCCTTTCTTAGCCGGCTGCTCTGCTCCAACAAGAGCCCCTACACCTTCAGATCGTACGCCACAATGCTCGAAGCCCAAGGAATCGATTCATGCCCTTCCCAAATGCCACCACAGCAGCGCCAAGAGCCGCCACAAGGCCACAAAGCCAGTCCCGGGGGGATTCTCCTCAACACAGCGACACCGTGCCTGAAGCCCCAGTCCTCACTGTGGTATACCAGACCAACTGGATGCAAATTTTGCATGTCAGGTCTGGCCCCAGGTGCTGTGCCTGGACCCTGACCCTGCAAGCAGCAAGCTCTGGCCACAGCCTGATGGGCAAGAGGGGCCCACAGGTAATGGCCACACTGACCACCCTGAATCCAGCAGCAAGTGTCCTGGTAGCTGACTGATCCTCTGGTCAGACATCACTCACCAACATTCACGGGAAACTGTGGTTTACTAATTTATCTGACTTTGCAGTCGAGCCTCTGAATACAGAGCACATCCAGAAAGGCCCCTTCCAAGCCCCGAGGGCACACACAGGGGAGCAGAGGCATGTCTGTAGCCCCAAGCCTGTCCAGGGTGCCAGGGCCCTGCACCTTCTGTTAGGGACGGACGGGCGGATTGGCCTGAGGTCCCGAAGTGCCCAAGGCTAGGAGTCAGGGGCTGCCCCCAGCGCGCTGAGACACTGCTCCCCAGAAGATGCCCCACCACGTCCTGACCATTGAAGGAGGGGTCACTGTAGAGACCTCACCGTCTTGGGTCCCAGGAGAGGGGATGTGTCACCCGCAGGGGCAGGTGGTGCAGCCCAGGTGGCTGATAGGAAGGGGCAGGGCGTCTGGCACAAGGGCGTGTCCATGGGAGGGCGTGGCCGTTGGAAACGTGGCTATCGGGCAGCACATCGCGGAGGGAGTGGCCATCGGATAGTGACTTGGAAATCACACCAAGAAGGGCGTGGCCGTGGGAGGGCGTGGCCACGGAAGGGCCGGCCTTTGGAGATGTGGCTATTGGAGAACGGGCCGCAGGAGGGCGTGGTGACGGGACTGGGGACGAAGCGCCCAGCCCCCTGCTCCAGGCACCCCCGCCCGCGGGCGCACCTGCTGTGCCAGCTGCAGCAGCTCCATGCGCTCCCGCAGGATCTGGGCGTCCCGCTCGCGCAGCTCGCTCATGACCTGGCGCTTCCACTGCTCCACGGCCGCCTTGAGCTTCTCGCGCTCCTCCTCCGACAGAATCTCGGCCACTTTGGCCCCGGCCTCCTGCTGCAAGGCGTCGTAGAGCATGGCTTCCAGCTCCAGGATGTGCTGGGGGCGGGAGGGCAGACGTTAGTCTCGCCTTCTTCCCAAAGGGCCGCCTGGGCCTGCCGGGGGCCAAGCAACCCCGTGACCCCCGGGGTTCCAAAGTCCAAGCCACCCCACAGAGGGGACTACTTCCCGTCAACTGGCTTAAATGACTGTCTGTAGAGGGGAAACACAGGGGGCATTCATTCACCTCTAAACGATTGTTTACATGTGCACCGAGACTTCAGGGGCAGAATTCTTATCAAACCCTGGGCTTATGAGCCCCACTGAGGAAGAAGGGCAACACTCACAGCGGTTTGTCTGATATACGGACAGAATTTACGGCAAGTCCCTGACCCAGCTTCTCCGAGGCCAGGCCACTCTGTGGTCCTCAATGCCACCCGTGGTGTGGGTCAGTCATGCCGCCTCAGACGAGGCCTCACCTTCGCTCGGCCTCGAGGCCCTGTGTGTCCCCGTGCCCTCTCCCGGCTTCACCACCTCCACTCTCAAGATGATAAATCCCGAAAACGCCTGCACCGTGGGGCCTGGTGTGCACTGCCCGGCCTGGTTGAAGACCCCGGGTCTGCAGAGCCAGCTGGTGCCACCCCTTCCGGGAGGCTGCAGCTCTCAGTAGCCCGAGGTCAGGAGACGAGTGAGGACAGACAACCTGCACGGGGTCCCATGGGGAGAGCTGGGATCGGGACCCTGCAGGGGGCGCCTGAGTCTCGTCCTCACCCTGCCGGGAAGGGCTCTAACAGGGAGCCCCTCAGGCCCCCGGTCCCCAAGCAGGTGCGCCACCCTGCCCTCCCGTGACCACGGTCCCCAGATGTGTGCTGTCCACCACAGCTCTCAGGGGAAGGACCCGTAATCCCACAGGCCGCCCACCCATGAGAGCAAGCACCCAAGAGGAGCAGAGAGGCTGACAGGCTGAGTGGAGCCTGGCCCCGGGACGCCCAGGCCAGGACTGAGGGAGCCGGGCTGGGGCTGCAGGCAGGGTGGGCGGGGACACGGAGACAGGGAGAGAGCTGCGTGGGGGGTGGGGCGTGGGGCTCACCCCTCTGCCGCCTTCCACAAGTCCAGTGCAACACCCAGAGACCACCATGAACCAATGCAAAATGATCTCTTTGCCGTAACTCAGCAGCCGACATGCATACCATGTTATGTAACTCCTAAGGATTTGCCAATTTGACCTGGAGTACTCTTAAAGCTCTTTCCTCGGGGAATTTTCCTGATACAAGCTTTGAAAAAACCAAATTCTTCAACTACAGAAAAACCCATCTTCCCATCAAAAACCGTAACGTCTTCAAAAATGAAGGGTTCTATTTCTTCAGGCAAAGTGATTATAAAAAGTCCTTTCAGCTTAGTGGACATTTTAGGAAATGAAAAACAAAAAGCCTTTGGACCTCACGTTTTATTGCTCTTGACAGCCACAGAGTAAACTGTCCCCAGCTGTCACAAGCTTCTCACTGTCCCCATCACCCACCGCTTCTTAGAGCAGAAGAGCTTAGGCGGTAAAGATATGCGCAAGCATTGACAAAATACATAAATGCAGCTGAGTGTGAGGCTTAGAATTAGCATCACAATGGCTTCACACAAAGCTGGTGGGAGAGATGTGACTTTGCCCTGTGAGCCGCGCCCCTGGGCCCATGGCCTCTCCCCAGCCTCCCCACGTGCTGGCAGCTTCCCCAGGGAGGTCAGCACACAGCATGGACTCCCCACCCGTGGCCCTGCGGCCACAAACAGAGCAGGGAGGGAGTGAAGCCTGGACAGGTGCCCACAGGCCTGCAGCCCTCCCCCGGGGGCACCCCAGGGCCGTCTGTGCCACCCTCCACATCAGGGCTTCATGAATGACAGATCAGGCTGACTGTCCAGGAAGTGCAAGCGAAGAATGGCAGGTGAAGAAAACAAGAGACAGCAAACATGTGTCCTGCTGCTGGAACAGAAGGGGGGGGGGCCCCATGGTCATCCCCCAGGGACGGCCCCCCACCCCCAACCGCGTCACACAGCGCTGCGGCTGGAGAGGCCACCCTGCTCCCCAACTCTCTGAAGTGCAGGTGCACAGCCCGCTCTCTGAGGTCACGTCCACTGACCCATCTTCTCTGCGCTGATGTCACATGTAATAAATTCCTATTCCTGAGCTGTCTCCCAAGTAACCCCCGGGACCTATAGGCGAGCTGTCCCCTTCCTGCGCGTGTCTGGGATGTACGACCAGAGCACAGGGATCATCCTGGGGGGGGGGGGGGTTGCGCTCAGAGCTGTCGGCTGCCCCCATATACTGTGAGCGTGCTTCCCACCCAGCCCCGTGGACTGGAAACAGGGATCTTGGCACATAATTCTGGGAAGGCCCACCGGCACCGGCTGGGCTCTGAGGCCACCTCCCTCTGCCACCTCCTCTATGGCTGCCCCCACAGGTGTCCCACAGCGACTGGCTGCTGAGTGGGCCACACCGTTGTCCCAGCACAGCCTCCGCCCTGCCTTGAGGCGCCCTGCTGGGGTTAACAGAAACATCAGGCTGCCAGCTTCCAGGCTGGGCAGCACCCACTGGGGCCCTAGGTGCTCTGCGCACAATTACCTCACTCTCCTCACAATCCAGGGCCGGGACCTAATAACGCCTCCGTTTACCACACGGACGCCCCTGGCCCCAGGTGCCCGCTAGCGGCTCGGTCACTTCCAGAGCCCTTGGCGATTCTCGGGCCGCCTCTCCAGGGCCACTGGGCAGCTCTTCCTGAACTGGGGCCATGACATGCGCGGACCGTAGGGACGTGTCCAGGGGAGACAAAAGCACACACTGGACGCGCTGCTGCAAGGTGACACAGACACCAGCAAGGACATGCCCGTGCTGGGGTAGCGCTCCCGCCTCCGGGACGCCCGTCGGGCCTCCGTTGTGCTCATCTGAGAGGCAGCCACACTAGCCCTGATCTGGATCCACCCTCTTGACACACAGGCAGCTGAGGCTCAAATGAGATGCCTGGGTCTCAAACCCGAGTCGGTGAGGACTGAGTCCGGGTGGCGGAGGCGCGTGTGCAGGCACTCCCGGTCTCGGTGTGAACCGCAGTGCGGGCGCATCGGCAGGAAACACGCTTCTGGGAGCAGGCGCCCACAAGCAGGGGTCCCCAGAGAACGAGCTTCCTTACATCCCACTGTGTTCAATTAGCTTGTAAATGCGTCACTTCTCAGGAATCCTACGTTTTCAACTCATTTTAAATATCCATGAGCTCTGTGTTCACGGGGTGAAGTGCTGACGGGGCAAGTAGCGCGTCCTCGGACCTCACTGACAGGGAGACATGTGGAGAGTGACCCCACGGTGGTCACACTGGACCCTGAGAGACGCCACCTGATGTGTGAACCCCCGTCCGCATTTCCACCCCGAGTCTGCACCTACCCTGCCGAGTCTTACCCTGTGAGCCTGGTCCAAGGACTGCTTCCTGTAATCCAGCTCCTCGTCCAGGTAGCCCTTCTGCTTACTGAACAGCTCCTGAAACACAAGAGGACCCGTGTCTCGGCCTCAGGCACCCACCCGGTGACGTCGTGCTGCACACACGAGGCAAGACGCCCACCAACCTTCTCAGTCTCCAGGTCAACCATTTTTCGGTGCAGGGCCGACTCCGTCTCTTCGATCTGCTGGAGCCACTGGACACAAACCGAAAGAGCAGGTGATGGGGATCTTTCCGGTGGCCACGCAGGCACCAAAGCCGTCCCACTTCCCTGCAGGCCCCACGGGCAGCCGAGGAGCAGGGGTTGGGTTGGCGGGCGAGCCTGCGCCCAGTGTCCAGACACCCCCACTTCCCCAAGGAGGGGAGGGTCGTTAGCAGGGCCTCGGCAGGAACAGACACACGGTGGTGGGGGGGGGGGGGCTCAGCCGGCGGCGTCCTCCCCCAGGCCCGTGCCCTGGAGCCCTGCTTGCCGGACTCCCTCTCCCCTTCCTGCTGGAGGCCCCGGGAGTGCTGTGACAGCTGCCGGCCAGGCAGGCTCTGGCTGTGGGGCGGGGGCCCAGATGGGCCGGGCAGTGCCCAGAGGAGGGTCCTCATGGGGTGAACAGAAAGCAAACGACCCACGACTTTGCCTGGTCTTTGGGGAGGAAACTGAGGCAGAATCTGGCTGATGTGTGATGTGTGGTGGGCATTGACCTGTGTGTTGCCAGACCTCCAAGGTGGACAGGATTAATGGACCCCCCCACACACACCCCACGAGCCCCTCCTCCAAGGTGGACAGGATTAATGGACCCCCCCCCACACACACACCTCAGGAGCCCCTCCTCCAAGGTGGACAGGATTAATGGACCCCCCCCCAACACACACACCCCACGAGCCCCTCCTCCAAGGACAGCGTCCTCTCTGGGCTGAGCACAGAGACAGGGACCCACAGCGGGTCCTTGGGCCCAACCCTGTCCCAAGAGCATCCACACAGGTGCTGTCCTCACCTTTTCAGCCAAGGTCAGGACGGTCCTAGCTTGTATGACGACCACTTGCTCCTCATTGGTGAGATTCTGCACCCAAAGCAGACACGTGTACGGTCAGAGGCAGTGCTTTTCAGAGGCACCCAGACTGAAATAATGAGGTGTGGGTGCATGGGGAGGGGGTGGAGGGGTACCCGGTGGGGGGTGCCAGGAGGGAGGTGAATGAGGGTGCCTGATGGGGGATGAATGGGGGTGCCAGGTGGGAGGTGAGTGGGGGAGCCTGATGGGGGTGAATGGGGGTGACTGGTGGGGGGTAAATGGGAGTGCCGGGTGTGGGGTGAATGGGGGTGCCCAGTGTGGGTACCAGGAAGGGGGTGAATGGAGGTGCCCTGTGAGGGGTAAATGGGGGTGCTGGGTGGGGGGTGAATGGGGTGTCTGGTGGGGGGTTAATGGGGGTTCCAGGAGGAGGGTGAGTGGGGATCCCAGTAGGGGGTGAGTGGGGGTAAAGGTAGGCAATGAATGGGGTTGCCAGGTGGGAAGTAAATGGGGATGACTGGTAGAGGGTGCCAGGTGGGTGGTGAATGGCGGTGCCCAGTGGGGTTGAATGGGGGGTGCCAGGAGTGAGACTAATGGAGAGAGGCACAGGGGGCTGGGGTCACCTCTAAGGTCACTTTTTCTGAAATGGTCTCCTGGGGTCTTCAACCCCTTTTACTCCTGACCCTGTGGACTCTGAGTGCTTCTCTATCCTGTCCCCTCCGTCCTCCCACCACTGGTGACCGGGACATGGTAAGTGGCCAGCTGAGGGCGACGCCGGGGTGGGACAGCATGACACAGGCAGCAGCGATACATGTGTCCCCACGGTCCCTGTCTGCGTCCTTGTTCAAAGCCAGCTCTCCACATATGCAGCTGCATTATTATTAGAGCACCACTTGGAAATGTGGGTGAAGACCTGACACTCATGGCTACAAAAGGGTCTCCGTCCCCTCCCTGGCTCTTTGCCTTTTTTCTGTTCATTGTACTCATGCCTCTTCCCAAGGGGCCACCTGGGAGGTCCTCCCGGTGTGTCTGGCTTCAGGGCCAATGGGCATCCTTGGAGACTATAGGCACTTCACTCGCTCAGACCCTGACAGCCGCCCGCAGCAGCGCCCGGGCAGGGCAGGAGCTGACTGTCCCCACTGCTGGGCCCCGTGTGCGGGGGAAGACGGGAGCAGGGCGGAGCCTGCTGGGGTCACTGAGCTGGAGGACAGCCCCCTACAGCCTGGAAGCCCCCTGAATCAGGGGCAGTCTGCTCAGAAAGCTCTCCCAAGGCAGGGTCTCTCACCAGCAGCAGTCAGCAAAGTGGGGGCCAGTGACCAGGTGCTGTAGGCGTGGAGCAAGCTCTGTCCTCGGGTCACCGTTACCCTGACTTGGTCTGGATTCGGGCTAGGCGCGCGCTCCTCACACCCCCTGCTCCTGGGGAAGCTGGCCAGGTACCTGTGCACCCCCCCACCCCAGGACAGGAACCAGGGAAGGCTGAGCAAGGGGCTTCAGAGAGATCCTACCAGGACATGGTCACGCTGGGCTGAAGGGCCCGCAGCATCCCACTGGGGGAGCAGCCTGGCCCGGAGCTGACCACATCCCCCTGCCCCGGCCTCGCCAAAGCGTGTTCTGCTCTGCCTTCTTGGCCTCTGCTCTTCCCTCCCTGGGTGATCCAGCCCTCTGCATCCAGGGACAGTGGTGGTGAGTGCCGCTGCCCATCGCGGGGGGCGGGGGGACCCTGACCCTTGAGCAAACTGAGGTCTGGGGTTCAGGTACCCACATAGCCAGTCTGGAGGCTGCGAGCGTGTCTGAGGTGAACTGTGCACACAGCACCCACAGCACAAGTACGCCCTGGCTGTGATGGTAGCAGGGGCCAGGCTGTCGCTGTCACCTCCTCAGACGTAGGGCCGTTCTGAGCTGCAGGAATGGATCTGTCCACGAGGTGCAGTCCCAGGTCACGAGGCGCATGTGAAGTGCGCCCATATGCTCAACTGTGACCACCTGGAGGGATGTCCCCTCAGCCCACTGACAGGAACTGGCAAGGTCTCCCCATGGCTACCTGAGCATAAAATCTGAAGGCGTGTCCTCCAGTCCCCAGTAGCCTCTGTCACGGTGCTCTGAGGCCACTTGAGAGCCCCATGGCCGTCCTGGCCCCTGAGCTCTTGAGTGGGCAGCTACAGGGCTGGGGAGGAGCTGGACAGAGCTGGGCTCATCCTACATCAGCTCTGTGAACCTGAGCAGGGGTCCTTTTGGGCCTCAGTTTCTCTAGCTGTGAATCAGAAGGTTAACCAATATGGTTCCCAAGAGCCCATGATGGGGCCCAATAACTCGGGGCTGGATCCCATCCTTGCTATGGGCTAACGCCTCAACGACCTACAGCCCAGATGCAGCACAGGACCTGGGGAAGGGCCAAATGCAGCCAGCGGAGCCTCCCTGCCCAAGTGGAGGGGACGCAAGGACAGAAAGGCTCCTGTCAGCACAGGCCCTGCACGTGTTACAGCTGCTGGGAGAACAACGCCCCAGGAACATGCTTGAGTGTCTGGGTTTGGGGTGTGTGGCTGAGGATGTGTGGGTGTGTCTGCATGCATTTGTTGCTGCTTTTTCTCCGTCTACTTCATGCAGTGTGCTGATTTGACTGAGTGCCTTGCTCTTTCTCAAACAGTGACCAGAATGGGGAAACCAAGGTGTCTTAAGACCAGCTACAGACTGTACACTTATTAGTAGACCTTGGAGGAAGAAAAGTTCTAGGTGGTAGGGTGGGGCTGCCTTCTAGCACAGTTGAGCTGCTCGTTGGACAGGGGACTCAATGGCTGCAGGATGATGGATAAAGGGCAGATAGAAGACAGACGGATGGATGGGTGGAGGAGGGATGGAGGAGCGATGGAAGATAGAAGATGGAGGGACGGAGGAAAGTTGAACAGATGAACAGAGGGATGATAGACAGACGGTGAAGGGTGGAGGGAGGGGTGGAGGGAGGGTGGGATGAAAGGGTACAGTCACCCAGGAATTAGTATTCTTCCAGGAGTTTGCTGTAGAAATTGAAACTGTGCCCTTAATAAGATTTGCAAATTATATGTGGTATCTGCCCCTCCCCCAAACCCAGGGAAGCGGGAACCCCTAAGAGTCTGGGATATCTGAGGCCCAGGAAGGAGCATTAGGGTATCAAGGGTATGGAGAGGCTTAAAGACTGACAGGGATTCCAGAAACAGAGGCCACTGGCCAGAGGCGTCGCTGCTGGAGGGGACGGGTGTGCAGGCAGGGCCTCCCCGCCCGGCAGAGCAGAGCCCCGAGCTCCCAGCCTCTGGCTGCTGGACGCCACCCAGCCGGGCACGGGGACAACAGGAGAGAGGGGCCGCCCCAAGCAGCTGTGGCCGCGGGGAGGGTGCAGGCGGGCAGGGCAGCTGTGGCCGACTGGCGGCGGGACTCACGGGGGACCCGGACCCCGGGGGGCTGGCGGGGGTGGCGGCCGGCGTGAGGAGGCATGCACAAGTCAGGAGAGCGACATACACTTACGGCGTTATCCCCCAGGATGTCCAGCTGCTTCATCAGCTCCGTGACCAGGATGTCCTGGAGGCAGACAGGCAGAGGTGAGTGCCAGCCGGGCGGGGCGGCTCGGGGTGCGGGGTGAGGGGTGGGGGGCTTACCGTCACCCCTTCCGCTTCGCAGTAGGCCTGGAGGGGGCTCTTTCCTTCTGCGAATGGGGTGTGGTGGAAGTTGATAGCAGGTGACTTCCTCTCCCTTTCCTAGGACAGAGAGTGGGAGGCTGGCACGGGGCTGTGCTGGGGACACGGTGGGGACCGCCAAACGGGGTCCGCATTTGTGAAACAAAGCCCCAGGGGCAGCAGGCGGCCCCTGTGCGGACGCTGGGTCGGCGGGAAGGGAGCTCCCGGCCCAGACAGGCCCTGGGATCCCAGCTCAGCTCCCTGCCCCAAGTCACCATCCCCGCTGCCAACCTTCCGTCCACTGTGAACACCAGGGCTGTTGGGAGCCTCAGGGAGCAGTGTCCTCACCACACCAACCAGAGTGAGCCCCTGGGGGCCCCCATCTTCACCCAGGGTCACATGGCCAGAGCCCTGGCATGACACACACACGCACACTTGCTCACGCGCACAGAGACTTCCTGCCTCTCGGGCTGGGGGGGCGGGGGGAGGGGCAGAGGACCCAGAGGAACGGCTCAACCTGCTTCCTTGGTGGGCAAGTGGAGACCCACGCTCCACACCCTGGTGCACGGGGATGCCAGAAAACAAGGCAGGGAATACTGGTGCAGAGAAACACCGAGCAGAGCTGGCTCACGGTGTTGTTCAGAAACTGGTCACTCCTGCCAGCGAGGATCATGCCCCCCTCATCACCAAGGGTCCTGAGGCTGACCAGGACTAAGAAGGAGGCCCCCAAGCTGTGTGTGGGTGGTCAGCGGGGCAGACGCCAGTCCAGATCACTTCCTCAGGCCTCACAGGGGACCACGCCCCCAGCTGCCCTCACGGGAGGGGGACAGTAGCAGGTGAGGGCAGCATGTGGCCATCCATGCATGTGGCCCCTTCCCCAAGGGTGCCTTCCTCCCACTGCAGGAGGCAAGGTCATGGCAGAGGACAGAAGGGCACCCAACTGCCTGCACTCAGGGGCTTAAATGAGCAAGAAGGGAACGTCGCTGGGCTGACCACTGTGGTCAGGCGTGTGGCCCCCATGGTACCACAAGGCACAGCCATGATTGTCCAGCCCCCACGGTCTAGAAACAGACACTCGGGTTGCATTCATTCTGGGTATTTTTTGCCCTCCTCTCCTCCATGGTCCCCCATGCAGAGAGTCACCCCCTTTCCAACCCACCCTCTTGGGGTCATAAGCAAAAGCTCAGGTCAGGAAGGCCACGTGACTCCCTCCATCACCCCGGCTCCGCAGGATGGCAGCCTGTGCCCGGTGCGCCCAGTGCCCGCGCCCACCCAGCACCTCCAGCTCCAGGATCCGGAACTCCAGCAGCTCATTTTGGTCTCTTGCATCCTGGACCTCGTGTCTTAACCGACCTTCTTCCGTCTCCATCTGTTTGATCTATAAAATAAAAGGAGATGCCTGAGGTCACTTGAGGTCTACCACTCCGGCTTTCCAGGTGGCTGCTGGCTCTGCGGGGACAGCTGACCCACTCCGGGGCCCAAGCCCTGACTCCAGCTGGAGTCCACGAGGGTCCATCCTAGTGAGACAAGGTGAGTCCCTACCCGTTGGTTCATCAGGGCAGGGGTGCAGAGGCACATGGGGGGTGAGGAGCCCTGGGAGCCCATTGCCCAGCCTGGCCACCTGAACAGAGGTGGGGAAGGCAGGGCCCATCGGAGAAGGGACGTAAGATGTCTCCATACGACAGTGCTCCTCAGAGCCCAGGCTGGCCTAGAACTGAGGGCCATCGCTGCCTGACCCCCTCCAGAGCCAACTGTACTAATGATGGGATCATTTAAACAGAATCAGAAACAAGCCACCCTGATGCGTGGCCCACGCGTGTGCAGGACACAGTGTGATGTGTCCTGGGGCCCGTGGCCCTGTGAGCACAGAAAAGGGTGCTCCAGAAGGGCGTCCGCAGTGGGCAGGAGGCTCGGCCCATCCTCCCGAACTGAATGTGGGGAGCTGGGTGCCCTGCTGGGATGCTGGGGGAGGGGGTGGAGGTGGGCCCAGGGAACCAACACCCAGCAAGGGAGCCATGCATTCAAGGCCAGGGCCTTGTGTCACAGCTGAGGCCGCAGGGGCACCTATGGGCTGAGAGTGTGATCTAGAGAAAAGCAGGGGTTTGAAGTGTGCACACCGTGTTTGCACGTGTGCAGGAGCATCTATGTGTGCGTGTGTGTGTTTAAGTATGCAGGTATGGGTTAGTGTCCACGTGAGTGTGAGTGTGCACAGAAGTGCTTAAATGTAAGCATACAATGTGTATAAGAGAGTGTGTACAAGTGTACAATGAGTATATGTGTGCACACAGCATTTATGTGTACATGTGAGTATTTTTGTGCATGCACAAGTGTTTATGTGTGCACTAGTGTCATGTGTATGAGGGAGCATTTAATGTGCACATAGTGTTTAAATGTGCTCATGGGCATGTATGCAAGAACATTTGAGTGTGCACGTGTGTTTGTGTGCACACACGAGTGAGTATGCATGTGCATGTTTAAGTGCACACAAGATGCGAGCATGCACGTGAACGCTGTGTGTGCGCACAAGCATTTCCACGCACACACGTGTCTATGTGTGCCGGCGAGCACCAGAGAAACAGCTGTCCTGATTTAAGACGCAAGTGGAGGGTGCACAGAAAGCATGTAGGTGTCGCTCACTGTTCAAGACATAACACCCAAAGCACAGCCCCGCGTGGGGCTCCAGTCGGGGGCGACTGGACGGGGGCCCACAGCCTTGGCTTGGAGGCTGCCGGGAAGCACGGTCACAGAGGAGGCCCTGAGGCTCGTGAGGACGCCCTAGTCAGGCTCTTCTCTGGAAGGGCGGTGGCTGCCATGGGGAGAGTTCGGCCGAGGGCGAGGGCTGTGGCACCTTCACGGAGGCATGACGACGGCAGGGCTGCCAGGGCCCTGGTGGCCTTGCTGCCTCTGAACATGAAGCTCCCTCTCCTGCCGGGTTCGAGCCACTGGCCCCCGCGCTCTGGGCCCTACCCACCAGCATGGTCCCCAGCTGCCCAGGTGGCATCAGGTGAACCCTGTACAGTCCCCGGCCCTCAGCGCCGCCTGCCCCTCCTGAGCGCAGCCCCAAGAGCGGGCTGGATCAGGGAGACGGTGGTGCCCAAGGAGGTGCCCAGGAACAGACGTCTCGCCTCCAGGGAGGGGGACGCCGGGCGGCCCCAGGCAGGAGCTCAGGCTGCTAACAGGCACAGGCCGGCTGCGCACTGTGTTTCCTGATCCGTCACATAAAATCTTCCAGCCAACAGAGCCCAGGCTGGGGGCAGGGTCACAGGGACAACAGCGTCTGGAAGCCGCCTGTTAACCAGCAGCCAGGAGAGCCCACGGCCACGGCCACGGCCACGGCCAGGGCAGCTTTGGTTATGTCAGACACACTCACAGTTGTACGGTGGTGACAAAAACTGAAGCCCAGCTCCTGGGGACCCTCAAAGGACCCTTTCTCAGAACAGAGCGTCCTGGCTCAACGAGACTTCGGAATGGGGTGATTCCAGTGGTTTTGAAAGGGCAACTCTTCCACCAAGGTTCTCTAGCCCTTGCCAACCACAGAGCCCGTGTAAGGGCACGACACGAGCCCGACTCTGCTGCAGACAAGGGGCCCTCCCGTGTCCAGGAGGCGAGGGGGCAGCCTCCCGGAAGGAGCGCCAGCAGGCAGGCCCGGCTCTGCGGTGTGCCTCCCGCCCAGCGGCACCGGCCCGCATCCCCCCCCCCGCCGCCCCCGCCCCGGGAGCGCAGGGGAGGCGCCGGAGGGTCGAGGGGACGCGGACATACCTTCTCCACGAGCTCTTGGTTCCTTCGATACAGCGCTTGCTTCTCTTCAATCCACTTCATGTCCTTGAACAAGGAATTGAATTGGAGAAATAAACACGCCACAGGATTAATCTCAAAGTCAACGTTTAAATCACAATTCAGCAGAACAGAGGATTCACCGGAAGGACTCGACACCAGCTTCTGAAATGACCACCCGCTGACAGCTCATTCACACAGCTAATGAAAACCTCTGGTTTCACCCTATATTTCCTAGGAGGGACCCAGACAGAGCAAATGGAGGCAGCCCCGCTCCAGGGAGACCCCTTGCGCCCCCACGTGGACAGCGCTCCGGCCGGGCGCCAGTGGCACGTGGTGCCATGTGGGCATCACGGATCCGGGGACCCTGACTGGAGTCGGCAGGAGCCAGGTTCCCTGGAGAGGGCAGGAGGGGACGGTCCATCTCACACTCGGACACTCAGACGGAGGCAGGCATTTATGCAAGTGAGAGACCTGCTAGGCGCCCCGCTGACCCTGCCCCAGAGTCGGCCCCCCGCGGAAGCACAGGGTCTCCGGCACACCCCCTGCGAGCCCTGCCCCTGGGAGCCCTGCGTCCTGCACAGCAGCATTTCCCGTCAGGTGTCAGGGGGCCGGCTGCTGCCCCAGCTTCTTCCCAGCAAAGTCATCTTCGAAGTTTGGAAAGATTCATTTCTGCAGACGAAGGGCAACAGCATCTTCTTCCTCCTCCCCTTCCTCCTCTTCCTCCCCTCCTCCTCCCCCTGGGGCCCCAGCTACCACCACGGCTCCTATCCAGCATGGCGTGGGGCCCAGGGACCTCACTGTCCACGTCCAGGCAGGGCCATTCCCGCAGCCCGAGTGGGCCGTGGCCCCGGGCGGAGATGCGGTGCCGTGATGGGGCGCAAGCCAGTCCCGTGTGTTTCTGGCAAACAGCCACAGGTGCCTGGCACCGACTCCTGGGCCCCACGCGCTCAGGCTCCTCTTGCCCACCCAGCAGCTAACATGTCGAGGCTCGCGGGACACATGGGTCTCAGTGGTGAGCCAGGCGCTTCCCAGGCAGACCCTCCCGGCCCTACGTGACGTCATCCAGACGCATCTTGGGTCCTCCCGGAGCTGCGCCGTCCAGCAGGTCAGAGGCCGGTGACCCGGGAGGTGGGTGCCCTGCCACAGGGTTTGGAGAGCCCGCAGGTGGTGAGGGAGTGGCCGACACTCTCCAGGGGCCTGCAGTCCTGGCCCTGAGCTGGGGGAGAGACGGGGCCCACCCAGATCAAGCCCAGAGAGGCTGTGCAGTCACGGCCGGGCGGGTGCCCACCCCGTCAAGGCCGCTGTGTCCTTCCTCTGGGTACAGATTCCTTCCAGTTTTCACATGTTTTATTGAGCTGTGAATCTTCAGCATGCAGCCAAATACGTTGTACCTGCACAGGCGCGTGCGGGCCGCCGCCCTCCTCAAGAGTCCACACCCTGGGCTCCCTCCTGCACACACCTGCGGGCCGCCGCCCTCAGCGAGGGTCTGAGCCCTGCGGGCTCCCTCCAACCCCCTCAACCCTCCCCCTGGGACCCGGGCTCCATGCACCCACCTGCCCCTGCTCGGCCAGGGTCTGCTCAAGGTCTTCTATCCGCGTCTGGGCCCTCTGCACCTCTGCTTGGAGCTGCTCACGGGTCTGTAGGACGGGAGGAGACATACATCAAACTTTCTCTAAAAGCCAGGACACGCCCACAGGGAAGGAGACTCCCAGGGCCTTCGGCCTCCTGCCTCCGCTACAGGAGAAGAGGCCATTCACCCCTTTGTGAGGAATGCTCAGCACGGGGCAGGGGGGTGGGGGGGTGTCTCTGACGCCTGTTTGAAGTGGGCGACCTTGCTAGATCACAGGGATGGACGGCAGACTCATCCTGAGGGCGTTAGGGGAAGCCTCCGTTCACAGGATCAAACAGCTGACCAGGGCGGCTGGGCGTGGCCTGGAGGGTGACAAGGACACTCTCCGGGCTGGGCCATCTGCCCAACAGGGACCAGACGCCCTTCCTTCCCGCACAGGCACCCTCTGCCGGTCCTGGCGTCGCCTCCATTCTGCTTGCTGACTTCACTTCCTCCCGGGGGCCCCCGGCTGAAGCCCTGCTGCGTGCAAGGCCCCCAGAGGGTCCAAACTGCCCTCCTTGGAGTTAATGTCCTCCCGCCGGCTCCCAGCCCTAGGGTACTTCATTCCGAAGGCGTTCCTGGTCCCTGGGAGCAGCCCCCAGGGCAGATGAGGGCACAGGGTCAGGGTCCCTCAACTTGGGGAGGGCAGGGTATCCCCTGGCCGGGCCCTGAGTCCCTCCCTGCATGACATGGGTGGACCTGGGCTCTCCCTCCCCTTCTCCCCTTCCCTGGCCTCTGCTCTCCTAGGGCAGCAGAGATGAACATGAAGCTGGAGGGGATTCTAGTTAGTCGCCCCGATTCCCTGGAGGCCCAGGGGCTCCCCAGGCAGCCGGGACGAATATGGTCTGGAGGAGGGAACCCCACTGACACTGTGCCCTGGTGCTGAGAGGTCCATGCTCAGCCAGCCAGCCAGACTTGCAGAAGTGTCTGAGTATGGCTCAGGTGTCCCCTGTGCGGCTGGGGACAGAGCTGCCCCCAGGCCACAGAGCAGCTGCGCAGGAGACCCCTTCAGTCCACAGGGATGAGGCTCATCTCCCTGTGCTGGGCATGCCCTCGGAGCCCCGGCCAGGTAGGCCACGCAGCAGGGATGGGGGGGAAGGGACTGGGGGAGCGACAGGGCACAGCCCCTCCTACAGCCTCGTCTGGTGGCTAGCGAGGGCCCCCGTGAGCTCTGTGCTCCTGCCTTTGGCGGACAGACCATGAGCACCTGGCCAGGGCCCAGGGAAGCCGGGGCAGGAGGGGACACCCACCGGCTCCCAGCAGGGCCTGTCTGGTGGGGCTCAGGCGAAAGGCGGCACAGCATCCAAGCCCAGTGCTTACTGGATGAATGAATGAATCATCTCAGCGAATTCAGGAGCTGAGCTGCACTGCTGGGCCCCTCCCACTCTGGGACTCAGTTACGGGAGAGGCCCAGGAGCGCCTCTAGCAGGTGTGCCAGGAAGCAGACTTCGCCTTGTCTGCCGACCGCAGTCCCCGCAGGGACGAACCCGCTCTCCGGGGGCCCGTCGCTCACACCTGGGCCTGGGGCTGCCCCTGGGTCCCACCGCAGCCGGGCCGCCGCCGGCGCTGCTTCCCAGACACTGGTTCTTAACGGCCTCGGCGAGCGTCACCAGGCCCGACAAATCCCATGGGACGTGGGAGAGGGCTCGGCCCGGGAGGCGAAGCGATGCCGGGGGTCAAGCGGGGAGAGCCCGGTGGGAGCCGGAACGCCGTGGAGTAGAAGTCAGTTAGACCTTAACTTCTCGCTCTGCGTCCAGCGTCCCTCCGACCTGCTCCTGCAGCAAGGCGTAGGCCCGCTGCAGGGCCTGGTACTCCATGGTCAGCTGCCGGAACCTCAGCTCCGTCTCCTCCTTGGCCACGCCCTGGACAGGTGCACGGAGACGCGGCGTTACGGGGGGCCCGGGGAGAACGGCCCAGCGGGCGGCACCGACCTGCCAGGTGAGCATTTCCTCCCCTCCCCACCGCACAGCAGAGGCCGCCTTCCCACCCCCGGCCCAATGCCTCCTTCTGGCGGCCAGGACACCTGCTGCCCCAGGGAGAAGGCGGGGCTTGCGGCTGCCATGGGGGTGGGGGGGCAGCAGACCCCGGAGTGTTTGCTGCTCCAAGGAGAACTAGACCTCGGTCTGCTGTGGGAGGGTGGCTGTGTCTGCGAGGGACCCGAGCCCGGCCCTGCTCCTACCCCGAGGGACACTAGTGGCAGCTGGGCTACCGGGTCTTAGGTCTCTAAGTGGGTCCGTGGCCATGGGGCCACCTGCCCGGATCTGCCAGGGGGCAGCCTGGCCCATGGCCTGAGTGCCCCGGGCAGGTCAGTGGACCACCGGCCACTACCTCTCCTTCAGCCACAGGGGCCGTGCTGGTCAGACCGAACCCCGCACGGGCTTCCTGCCAAGTAAGGGGGCTCAGATGTGTGCCCACATGTGAGGGCAGTTCCTTCCAGAAGAGGGACTGGGGGCGGGGGACAGGCCTGTGGGCTTTTATCAAAGCCAGGGCTGCTCCTCATTGTTTCTGCTGCCCTGATGCACACCTCGGCGCGGCCCTGGGTGTCGGTGCTGACTCCCCCACCCGTGGTCCAGACCCCGGGGCAGCCTGCAGGAGGGCAGGGGTGCAGGCAGCCAGGGAGGGGCACCCGGCCCACCTCGTCCCACCCCAGCCTGTGCAGGGGCCCCTGTGGGAGTGTACCTCCTCCAGGTCATCGTCGGGGGTGCACGGCGTCTGGTCTGTCCTGTCTGTTTGGTAAGAGATGGAGGAGCCATCGGACTCCAAAGAAGCCTCTTCGTCATATCCAAAGAAGGTCTCCACCACCACCGGCTTCCGGCCAAAAGGGACTGAGTTAGTCCAGCTCCGGGCCCGTGTCCCCCCCTCACCCCATGTCCACTCTATCCAAGTCCTTCCTGCCGTGCCCCCCACAGTCTCCCTAACTCCAGGCCCGGCAGCCCCAGGGACTTGCCGTGCCCTCCTTCTGGGGAGTCCTCAACGGGCCCCTTCACGGTCAGGCTCATGAGGGTCACCGGTCACTGAGACTGGAGGGCACTGTGGCCAATGCTCCCTGCCTTCACCATCCCGTCCGCGGCTGCTGAACCCGTCCTGCACGTTGAGGGCTCCTGGCCTTTATCCCAGTTGCCCGACTTCCCCCAACTCCTGCCTCATGGAAGCCCGGGCAGCGGGGGGCCCGGCGGAGAGGGTTGGCCTCTTACAGCTGTGCTGCAGGGCTCCCAGGCCTCCAGAAAACCTCTAAATAGTCTGCCATAATCCCAAGGACAGAGACCCCAACACCCTCTCCCTCCTCCCATGGGCCTTACTGGGGGGCCACGGATGCCAGCACTTGTGCCTAAGGAACATCTCACAGCCTGTGCGAGAACAGCACTGCGCATTCAAATGCCAAATGAGAAAACACACTCATTTTGCATAAAGCAGAGCACAAGTTAGTGTTCTTTGAAGACAGCTCCTGAATCTCCTTTTTTAAATTAATTAGTTAATTAATTAATTTTTGAGAGAGCGAGACAGAGCACGAACAGGGGAGGGGCAGAAAGAGACAGAGACACAGAATCTGAAGCAGCTCCAGGCCCTGAACTGTCAGCACAGAGCCTGACGTGGGACTTGAACTCACGAACCGTGAGATCATGACCTGAGCTGAAGTTGGACGCTTAACCGACTGAGCCCCCCAGGCGCCCCCTCTCCTGAATCTCCTTTAAAAAAAGCACACATTTATGGAAAAGGATTGCTCATCAAATTCCCTCGGGGCGCAGGTGCGCCCAGGAGGGGCCCGCGCAGGGCAGCAGGTGCTGCAGTGCTGGCCGGGACCCCGGGGGACCCCGCGGGGGCGAGGCCGGCCTGCGGGCTCCAGCACAAGGGGGACTCGGAGCGGGCCGTGGAAGGCCAGGGTCCCGGGCCAGCCCCTCGTCCTAGCTGTCAGGAACCATATCTTCTCTGGGAAAGTTAAAAACAACAAGGTAAGATTTCTAAATTTAACATTTAATGATTGTATTGATTTGGCTTCATTTCAGTTATTGTATGGTAACAATTTGTAAAAACAATAGGGGTGCCTGTGACTCAATCTGTTGAGTGTCTGACTCTTACTTTCGGCTCAGGTCCTGATCCCAGAGTCGTGGGATCGAGCCCTGTGTTGGGTTCCACTGCTTAAGATCGTCTCTCTCTCCCTCTGCCCCTCCCCTGCTCCTGTACGCTCTCCCTCTCAAAATAAATATTTTAAAAAAGGAAATAATAAAATTATCTTCTTTTCACCTCTAGAAAGAAACTCACTCCTGTTAAGGGGCTTTTAAAAACATACATTTTGTGTGTGCGCACATCAGCGTTGTCTCCTTTACCTTGGGGAGTTTCGCCATTTTCTTTCTTTGCTTTCGAAATCTTAAAAGCTTATCTCGCTCCTGCAAAAACCAGCGAAGAGATTTCCTGAGTGGCTGAGCGGCTCCGTTCGTATTCCCGCGCGGTCACCTGAACGGGCTTGGAGAGTGGTTTCTGGGTGGGCACACTCTACGGTCACGAGCACAGGGCCCTGCTCAGGGAGGGCCGTTCACGCTGCAGGGCTGACTTGGTGGCTTCTGCTTGGGCTGAAGCGCGTGGCGGCCCAGGCGGGGGGGGCCCTTGCCCCACCCTGCTCAGGGTGCTCCGGCCCCCTTCGGGGTGCAGCCGGGGAGCTGGGCTCCGAGCAGCACACACACAGGAATGGGAACACGACTGGGAGGGAGGCCCCGCCCTGCTGAGCGGGTGTCTGGAAAAATGGGGTCCCCCTGAGTGGGACGGGCGCTGCAGACGTGTAAGGACACAAAAAACCCGTTTCTCCCTAGGGAGCTGCACTGTGTTCCCGTGGCCCTGACCACGCACCAGCCACGCTTAGGCTGCCGGACCACACCGGCGGGGGAGAAACCCGTGGTGGGGGCAGTGCCCCAGGGAGGGCAAAGCTGGGTGCAGGCTCCAAAGGCCATCTGGGGCACCTATCGGACCCTCACGGAGGGGCCCTCTCGGTCGCTGCTGCAAAGCCTTTGGTCAGGCAGCGCCGTGTGGGCACGGTCACCTGCGTCTGGACTGGAAGGAGCCACCAGCACCAGGGTCCCAGGGATGAGTGCCCTGGAAAATGGGTGTGGATGTAGGAATTACTTACCAGCACACTCTTCACGTAGCCGGCAGTTTCAAGGGTCTGTGGGGAGAGGGAGCTGTTAGAGAACGGGGGCCCGCGGGGGGCCCCGGGCGGGCTGGCTGCCCCAGACCGTGACCGCTTCCCACTGCCTGGAGACGGAGCATCTGACTTGGCCCTCACAGGCCTTCCTCCCTCCCGGGCTGACCTCCCAAGCGCGCCGTGAACCTGCAGACGTGCCCAGGGGCCCTCAGCTCAGGGCCAGGTCCTTTCAGAAACTGAGATCATGTACAACTGTAATTGACCAAGATTTCTTCCTTTCTCTACCCCCCCCCCCCCCCCCCCCCCCGCAAAGGTTCTCATTGCCGTGGGGATCGACAGTCCCTGTGCGCTTGAACAGGGTCAGCTCGCAGGCGGGGCCAGGGAAGGCTGTGCGGCTGAGACCCCACCCTGCACCCCAGGCGGGCAGCGGGCTCTCCCGTTACTCTGGAAGCAGCTTAAGTTGCTTGGAGCAACTGGCCTTGGGGTGTCCGGCCGGCTCTGGCTGCGGAGCGTGGGACTCTTGATCTCTAGGTCTTGAGTTCAAAGCCCAAGGAAAAAAAACAAAAAACAAAAAACGGAAACGAAAATAAAAACAGAACAAGCCAGGCCAGCACTTCTGGGCCACAAGCCACACCAGCGAGAGAGGGTGCTGTCCCTTCCGACGCCCCCCGAGGTCACCGAATGACCAAGGCAACTTGCTCTGCAAAGATCCGAGCGGACTCCGACAGGGAGCCGACCGCCCCAGGCAGGGTGATGGAGGGGGCTGTAGGGGCCAGGGGCCAGGGCCCGTAGACGGGGACCCCTGCCCTGGAAGATCGGTCCACAGCCTGATGCCCAGAACCCGGGTCTGGACCTTATGTGGAACAGCGCCTTTGCAGGCGCGGCTGAGGCAGGGCTGCGGGGGGGAGTCCATCCCGGATTAGGGCGGGCGCGTGTCCTCGGGACAGAGGGAACGGGCGGGGCAGAGCGCGGCCCCGCGGGGACGGCGGCTCCGGGAGAGAACAGGCCCGGCCCGGCGCCTGCGAGGAGCCGGCGCGGCCGCCCCGGGGGTGGGGGGGGTTCTAGCCCCCGGAGCCGCGCGCCAGCCCGACAGCGGCTCCGCCCCGGCCCCGGGGGCTGACGGCGCGGCGCTGCTGCCTTTCAAACTCCGGGTCTAAAGCTAGGAGGGGATCGCAGTTTAGAGAGGGTCGCTGGGCCTGGCCGCGGGGGGCCCTAGGGCGGGCCGGGAGGACCTCCCTGCGGGGCTCCCCGACACCGAGGACCCGGGGGGGGAGGGGCCTAGGGAGAGAGGAGAGGCCTAGGGAGGAAGCGGGGAAGGGACCGAAGGGAGGAGGAGGGGAGGGGCTGAGGGGGGGAAGATGGGAGGGGCCGAGGGAAGGAGGGAGGGGCTGAGGGAGGAAGGAAGGGAGCGACCGAGGGAGGGAAGAGGGAAAGGGCCCAGGGAACGCGGAGGGGAGAAGCCCAGGGAGAGAGGAGGGGTATAGGGGGTGAGAGGGGAGGGGCCTACGGAGCGGAGGGATATGATTGAGGGAGTAGAAAGGTGGGACGGAAAGAAAGAGTGAAAGAGAGGGGAGGGGCCGAGGGAGACGGGAGGGGCGGGGACGGAGGGCGG